CACGCAGCACTTACTTCCTGTTGCCAGTAGGTGGCGCTCTCACTATATCTGAATATTGTCATGTAGACGTGTTCAGGGCCGGACTGTTATTAAACATGTCAAGTTTCATTGAGATTGGACCACGTACACGGAAGTTGTGAGGATTTGTTCAGGGTCGAACTGTTATATGTGAAGTTTATTGGAGTACTATCTGTTTAATGGCCAATTGGCAGAATTTGACACGTCGTCACCGGCATGCGTGTCGACGTACAGTCACAAATAGCACAACTTTTGATCAGCAACATATTTTGACTGTATTGAACCTGGAGTGTTATTGGTGGATATAAGAAGTCATTTTTTCTGTTTTGATTTTTTTGAAAAAGTCAGTTTTAGTCTGAAAATCAAAGTCAATGATATCTACGTGGGCTGGCACAACAACAATCTGTGGCACAGCAGGCCTCCTCTTCCCATAGAAAGACTGAGCAGACAGCTGCTGCAAAAGAAATATGCCACATCAATATACTATGAAAATATGTAATAAATAAGCCATAAGCAAATCAAGATCAAGCCCACTTTGAATTATTTGTGAGAGAAAGCTGTAACATTGATGTGCATATTAGTATATCACCCACAAAAAAAAACACACCAAAATATGCAATAGAAGTGTAATTAAAACCATCATAATGAAGTGACCATATATGGTTCCTCGCCCGATAAAGAGTTAAAGAGCGCCACCTAGTGTCGATGGCCTAAAATTGTGCACAATGCCTAAGGAAGACATGAGGAACTACGGACCCAAGCTTGGTGGCAATTGGACCTACCAGTGTGGAGAAATGCTACACTTCCTGTTTTTACCAAAATCTATAGGAAGTGCTAATTTTATAACAGGCTTATTTTTTGAAGTATCGAAGTTCTTTGAATCTTGTTTTTTCCAGGACATTCCCCAGATGCTACGTGAAAAGTTTCATGTGAATCGGACAAAGTGCATAGGAAATACACGAAAAAGTAGTTTATGGACATTTTGGGCTCTAGCAAAAAAAACTCCAGCCGAAAATGGGCGTGGCCTATATGGGGAGATTCAGCTTTATTCACCGAACACGTTGATATAAGGTTTTTGAATGTGCGACAAAAGACGCGGAAGTTATTAGCCTAAATGTAATTTCTTGACAATAGCGCCACCTAGTGGCTGACCCAAAAGCGACGCATAGAATATAAGATTTTTCACAAGGCCTTTGCCAAATAAAATTGAGTTTTCGTATATGTTCAGGGGGGCAACAAATCTGGATATTGTATTTTCAGAAATAAGAGGCTCTTGGACAAATGGGCTTTTGGTCCAATGGGACATGTTTTGGACTATTTGGGGTTTTGGTATAATGGGGTGTCTGAACAATGGCCAGTCCCCACAGAGATACTTTAGTCTTGTTAAATCCAGATCACAAGTGCAGCCTCTCAATTCTCAGCCGTGACTTGGCAGTAAAAAGTCAAATGGAATATAATTTTATATTAAGTCAATATATTATGCCCTTCAAAACTGACAAAAGATAGGGAGTCTTTTATCTTTCTCTGGTATAATCTTATGTTTGAAAATGCCATGCATTGATTGATTTCACTCACACATTTTTAAAATCAACTGTTTATTAATCATGAATATGATTTGATTATATTGTAAAAAAAAACAACTCAACAGTCAGGTTCTGGTCCAACCTGGTGGTTAATTCTGATTTCTTATGATTAATTATATGTTTTTAAACCCATTACTCACAAAACACCTTTAACCAAGAAGATACTGAAGAAGTATATATTTTCTATGTTTTAGAATACATGTATTAAGGCCGATCCTCACTGCTAACAGCAACAGTGAACGCTCACCACACCCATAACACCTACATCAAACCACTTTACACTGAAACTCCCATCCACAGTCATCGAGGGATGGCAAAGGTTGACACATTGATGACGACAGTGTCACCAAGCCAGGGGATAGCACAGAAGGTCGGGGGTGCAGCAGTGCTCCCTGAAGGTGCAATTAGTGCTCCGCTACAGGAACAAAGCTAGACAGGGTTCCTCCTCTGAACCAGAACATTGTTACACTAATTAATAACTCTGTCGCATCAGGGCGGCTTCAGCACAATAACAACAGCAACAACAGGAAAAGCAAAAGAACAAGAGGAAGGGTTTAGTGTTTCGCTAACAACTGTGTACTGAGGTAATTAAAGGAAATCCTCACTAAAAGTTTTCAGTCCTGTTAAAAAGTTATTTGCAAATTGAAGCTGCAAACAGTTTAAGGACCATGTTTATGTCCATGGTGTATTTTCTAAATAATGCGCCTCAAAACTGACAAAATTTCCAGTGTAGCTGGAATGGAGTTTACTAACAGAAACGATTTCAGCTCTCACAAACACAGGTTTCTGTGCAAGAGCATCTTTAGGCAGTGAGAAATATACAACATACTGATCTCTCCCTCCAAAGCAGCTTTAATAGATGTCAGCAAAATGGGGGAAAAAACAAGAAATCCTGTGTTCAGGCATTTTTCAGATGTTTACCCCACTGCTATGCTTGTAGTGACACTCCAGTAATTCCCACAGTTTTTCCCACTTAACAGCTCTTTATTACGATATGAACAATACAACATGAATGTGGCATAAATTGAAACTCTTATATTTCTATGGTTTCACCAACCTTTGGTGTTGAACTATTCCTTTAACTGAGCACTGGCTGAAGTTGTATTTTTCCTTACAAAAGCATTCATTGCTTTGTTTATGTTCTGTTGACCCGTCAACCCTATAAAATTGTGGTTGACACTGTGACATAATGTGTACATGTCTCATGATGCCGCTGTTCATGACTTGCAGATCATTTTGGTCAGGACCAGTGCAAGCAATGTAAGCTTATGTAGTTACTCAGAAACTCTTTTCTTATCAAACCTCTGTTTCATGCTCATGTTCTTTAAAACACATCGCAGCCCAGGGAGCTGTGGAGCTCAGTGGTTAAGTGGCCGATCGGTTTTGTTCGAAGACACTGGTCTATGTGCCTTGCTCAAGGGCAAAGCATTGTTTAGAAGGAGAGAGTGTTACACTATTCACTGTCTCTGAATGAATATAATGTATATGAAAATTTTGTGGTGTCAAAACAAATCACAAGCATTCCCAGAGATGATGTTGGCAGATCATGAGTGGCTGATTGCAACTTTGTTTTTTTCTCATAGCAGATGAGATGATATTTGATGCTCAGTTGAAACAAAACAGTCTTGGAAGAAGGATCAGTTTTCTTTAATGCATCTGTAAAAATTTGTTTTCTTGACACATGAAACCTCCAGTGGTGCAAAATAACTAAGTGTACTTTAGATAAGTAGCCTGCAATTTTCAAAGAGGCATTTCTTCTCTGAACTCTGAACAGTTTGAACCCAGAGAGGTCAGATTATCCAATATATCCAGATTTATGTATCAGAACTTTGTTTTTCCTCTCCCAGTAATCATCTTACAGCCGACTTATCTTGTGTCCCTTTGGAGGGGCACGGCCCCTAGTTTGGGAACCTCTGGATACAGCTCACTGTATAAAGTTATTAAAACTTGCTCTACTTCAAGCAGATACAACTGTAAAATGCTGTTTTACACATGTGTTGTGTCAGTATTAACAATCTATTATATATCCTAATTTACCTTGCAAAGGCAGTTCAACTGCAGAGCGAGTACTTTTACTTTTGATCTTTTATTTATTATTATTTATTCAGTATTTAGTTGATGATACATTTATACTTTAAGTAGGATTTAAAATGCAGGACTTTTACCTGTAATTTTTTCATTGTTGTATTGGTACTTTTCCTGAAGTAAAGGATATTAATACTTCTTCCATCACTGGAAACCTCACCAAGAGACACAGTGCAGCATTCAGACATTCAAGATTCTCTGCAACTTGTCTTCTATACTGTAAAAATGGTTCAGCTCATCTCAGAGGGGTGTTAGTGCTCCTTGGGGAGACCCTAAACCTCATAACAGCATTAATTTTCAATGCATCTCCTCTATGTCTGCTTTAGATGTAGATTAATATTTTAGTATCTTCTTGCCATAATCACATCACAGCACTATATTCTGGGCTGAAACCACCACTGCTTGGACAGAGACTTTGTAAAATGGCATATTAGACTGCAGAGGCGTCTCAGACATATGGGATCATGAAACAGTTGAGCAAGCATGCGTGCACGGAGCGACTGCTGTATCTATGCGAGATGAAAAGAACCGCTCTGTGACTACACTCTTGTAATCTGAGTGATGCCAACACTGCTTCCTCCCCCGCTCAAAGCAAACATTTCACATTTTGATTCTTTTTGTACAGAAGGTTTGGTAATTTTATTTGGGCGAGACACAGATTCACCTGTTTTTCAAAACTGTGCATTTTCAGTAGATCTGTTAGTGTAGTGTATTTTTCACTGTCAGAAATGCAGGAAAGTGTGGGGCGCCCTGGTAGCTCACCTCGTAGCACTGGCACCTCATGTACAAAGGCTGAGAAAAAGAAAGTGCACTATTTATGTAACGGTATTTAATATGTATATTTTTCTGTCTTCCATTACTGTGCCAGTATTTTAAGAGGACATTTGTGTGTGTTATGTGGACCCCAGAAAGATTAGCAACTGATATTGCAGAAGCTAATGAGGATCCAATGAAATAACCAAATATTCAAATAAGTGGCTATGATGGTTGACAGAAATGTTGATTTTTAAGATTTGACACGTCCTTGTTTTCAAAACTACAGTCTGTATCTGTTATAAAATGTGCTAATATGTTGTCATAAACTTTAAAAAGATTACAGTTGATGACAATGATTTCTGTTAATAGTATGGGGGTATTAGTAAAGTAATATTTGATTTAGAGGACTTCATATTGCTTGTTTATCAGCAGCATCTCTGCCAAGTGTGTCACTTTTCTACCTTGTATTTCTACCAAAAGGCCAATATTACAGAACAAAGTGGTAGAGTGAGACAGCAAAGGTGGACAAATAACCATTATTTGTTTCTTGGCTCATAGGTTGTCCAATTGAAGAGCTCCCTCCTGAGGCCCCCTGCTGACTGTTAACAAGCACAACTCTGTACAAGTCTGGGAGCTTCATGAGTGTGTGCACATAACCTCCACTCCACCTCTGTGTGTGTGTGTGTGTGTGTGTGTGTGTGTGTGTGTGTGTGTGTGTGTGGCACCATGCTGTGGACAGTGCTACTAGCGCTGCTGGTGCTTCTGCTGCTGCAGACTCAGCTGTCTGTGTGCTTAAGGGAATTACGCAGCGGGGGTTCCAGCTCCCCTGCCTACTCCTCTTCATCATCCTCTTCCTCCTCCTCTTACAATACCACCCAGCAGCGGCTGCCCGGAGCTATTATTATTGGCGTGCGGAAAGGCGGCACCAGAGCCCTGCTGGAGATGCTCAATCTGCACCCAGATGTGGAAGTGGCAAAGGCTGAGGTAAACGACCATCACTGTCACCAAATAACTGAATTTAAGAAGAGTAGATTTGAAGTGCTGCAGTAGGTGCTGACCACACCAGGGTGGGTCAAGACAAACTTGACACACAGACCACCTAACAAACACTGCACATTTGTCCTAAAACAGCACATTAGTCTATCCAGTCCACAACAGCTTAAGAGTCAAACATCAGCAGCAGATCAAATATGCACAACTTAAAGAGAGAGAGAGAGAGAGAGAGAGAGAGAGAGAGAGAGAGAGAGAGAGAGAGAGAGAGAGAGAGAGAGAGAGCATGAAACAGCCAAAGACACACAAAAAGGCAGCACATTTTCCAAATCGACCAGTTTAGTTAAGGTTGATAAAAAAATTATCCAATACCTGAGACATTTGATAACAAATCCATAATTTCCCAATTTAACAAACTTATTCAGCTAGTTCAGTGATACTGACAGCACTGTAGTTAGGTGAGGTAGCAGGTGAAGTTTACTGGTCATTTGCTCTCCTGCTAATCTTCTCAGGACCGCTCAGATTAATCTTTTGATTCTTTGAAGGGGCCAGACCCCTAGGTTGGGCGCCACTGGATTTAACTAGCCAACTGATTATAAAGTAGATAAAACTAGCTCCAAATGCCGCTCACATATTGACAAATCAATTTTGAACGATCTAATAACGTCATAGTTAACAATATATCAGTCACAGTGGACACTTTACTGGAGAGGAAGTACTTTTACTGATACTGATACTCAAACCAGGCTACACAAAGCTGATGATACTTCTGTACTTTTACTGAATTTTGAATGCAGGAGCTATACTTATACATTGTTGTATTGGTACTTTTACTGAAGTAAATGATCTGAGTATGTCCTCCACCATCACACAGATTAGACTCACACATCCAGAGATGGGAAGTATACACAGTCAAGTACAGTACATAATTTGTAATCCAAATGTAACACAGCTGCAAAAACTATTTACAACCAATTTATATGTCAATTAAAAAATCTAAATTAACCACTGCACACTGGAAAGACTACTGTGATTTATGTGAGCAAACCTGAGGAAGCTGCAAGTGAAACGTGTTGTTCGCTCTTACATAAATCACAGTAAAGTCATTCCAGTGTGCGGTGGTTAGTTCTGATATTCTACTACATGGTCCTTCCACCTACCAGCACTTCACTGTTGTTGGCAGTGCATGGGGAGTTTGTTTACAAATCATATATTTTAAATTAGTCTTTATTGGGAAACACACAAAAAGCCAATTTTTTTTTCAAAGTTATTTTTTGGGGCTTTTATTGCCTTTAATGGATAGTGACAGCTGAAGGTAGACAGGAAAGGGTACAGAGAGAGGGGATGACACACAGCAAAGGGCAGCAGGTCAGATTCAAACCCTGGGCTGCTGCAGCAACTTGGTACATGGTTGCCAGCTCTACCAGGTGAGCTAACCAGACGCCCACAAAAAGCCATTTTTAAAGAGTGATTAATCTAGTAATCTAAAAAAAATACTCTGAAGATTAATCCACAATAAAAAATAATCATTCATTTCAGCCCAACTAAACTTGTTACTCTAAACTCCGGTTGGCTGTAGTTATGAGTTACTTTGCAGATTATAATTCCACATTTACCTTGAGAATCATAAAATATAAAGCCTTTCTGAATTTGAAACTTCCCAACTGTGTATAAAGAAGTTATACCCAGTGCTAGCTGGACCATCTATAATATTAAAATGCTGCTTAAAGGTTACCACGTTAATAGTTTACAGTGTGAAAGAGACCATTCTTCAAAATGATGCTTTTAGTTGTGATACTTAGGTATATTTTTCTTTTGGGTATAATGTGGGACATTATCACACATTGCCAAATACCACTTCATATGATTGGAGGAATAACCATAAACCATTACATTTCATTCAGGGAAAGTTATGTCAAGGCACTGACAGATCAAATCAAATCGAATACATTTGGCTCAAAGAATCTGAGATCCAATGACACTTGGAAGTTCAACCTGCATATTAAGCCCACAAATCTTATTATATGGAGGTCAGAGACAGCTGTAAAAACATACATGAACGTACATACATGAACGTAAGAAAAGTCATCATACCTTTCAATCCATAAAGTTGGGGTGGTAGAGGGAGCTGACTTGAAGGTATAAGGAGAGCAATAATGAGAATTGTGATTTAATAAAGGCCACCCTGTACGTCCATATGAATATACCAGTAATTGGATGTCACAAGTCAGCTGGTAGCCAATCAGCCAATGTATCAATGACCCACTGATCCTTAAGCATGAGTTAACACAGATAGCTGATTAGCTGATGCGAGTGCGACTTCAGTGCTCTGCCAGAACTGATATAATGGTCCAGTGGTGATAAATCTGCTCCACTGATGGACTTCATCAGTGTACTAATTGCTTCTGTAGCTAACCTCTTACTTCCCCAATACAAGTAGCATCTGCTGTTTAACCTGTGAAACTATTTAGGGGAATTTTGTATCCCACTCTAGGTGAACTTTTACCCTATTATCATTACCGATGCAGAGAGGCAAAGATAAAATGAGAACAAAGTCAGCTCAGCCTATATGTGGTTGACAGTGTACTTGTGATTATGAATGATGACAGGGCCTGTCCCGAAGAGAGAAATCTTAACCAGGGTAGTCTGAGATGAGGAACTAAAAGTTGGAAAGCTGGCGAAAAGGAATAGATTAGTTTGGACAAGATTGGGACAAAATGAAAAGAGCTCAGTGTCTTTTTAATGGTGAAAGGGTTGTAGTTAAATTTCATCCCTACACATTGTTTCAGTGCAGCTCAAGAAAGGTTTTCAACACCACTGCATCAAGAAGTGAAATTTCATGGACATGTACTGCTTTCCTTATCTTCACACACACTTCTGTCCCTCTGTCAGGTGCACTACTTCAACGTGGAGGAGCACTACCGCCGAGGCCTGGCCTGGTACCGAGCCCAGATGCCCTTAACCCTCCCTGGTCAACTGACAGTGGAGAAGACCCCCGGCTACTTTGCGGCCCCTCAGGTTCCTGCGCGCATCTGGGACATGAACCCCGCTGTCCGCTTGTTACTCATCGTCCGGGATCCAGCCGAGAGGTTGGTCTCAGACTACACCCAGGTCCTCCACAATCGCCTGACCCGCCACAAGCCCTACCAGCCGCTAGAGGAGCTCTTGATTCACAAGGGCCACATCGACCCTGGTTACAAGGCGCTGCAGAGGAGCCTGTACCACCAGCATCTGGCCCGCTGGCTGGAGGTCTTCCCCAGGGAGCAGATCCACGTGGTGGATGGCGACGCCCTTATCCGGGATCCCTTCCCCGAGCTGAGAAAGGCGGAGAGGTTTCTGGACCTTCCTCCCAGGATAAGCCCCAACAACTTCTACTACAACACCACCAAGGGCTTCTACTGCCTCCTGTCTGCCGGACACGACAAGTGCCTGGACGAGTCTAAAGGCAGGCCGCACGCACCGCTGAGCACCCAGGCCTTTAAGAAGCTTTGTCGCTACTTCAGGAAGCCCAACAAGTTGTTCTTTGAAATGGTGGGGAGGTCGTTTTCCTGGTGCTGATCCAGTGGAATAGCAACTGTGGAGATAAAACACCTCCTGAACAATACCAACACATTCAGGGACACAGAGGGAGAAAGAAAACTGTTGTTTGTGTGTTTTTGTATGTAGATGAGTGGAAAGATTTTAGTTCAGTTAAAGTCATAAACATTTCTTGTTGTTGATACCTACTCAGGTATAAATGTGGCCAACAAGAGCAGCACATGATGTGTGTGAAGATATGAGGAGAATTCAAACTGCTTGTGTTGAACATGTGGCCAACACAAACCTTTACCATGACCATACTGGTGCCTCCTTGGATGAACTCACTTGAAGAAGCTACAAGAACACTGTGCCATACACAAGTTTGGAACTGAAAACACAACTAGAGGCCTGTTAGTGCTTTTGTATTTGTGTTAAAAGAAGATGTGCAGACTTTGAAGTGATGTAGAAATAGACAAGCGGTGAAAAGATGGTTGAATTGATTGTTTGCACTATAAACTCTAATTGCTTAAAAAGTCAATCGAAGTTCAGTGTAGACAATTTCAAACAGAAAGCAACCCCTGGCATTGATTTTTCTCAACGGTTGTAACATGTTTGTGTGTTAGTAAAAAATGTTTTAGTTGATGCCTCCTGTTTACTTCATCCTTTGTTATTTTACGAGGCAAACTTTTAGATGTTCAATGAAAATATCTTTTGCTGTTTTTACAGTAGCCACATTGAAAACTTGTTTTTGGTTTCTCTTAAGTTTCAAGGCCAATGTAGTACTATTGCTAGTTTGTGTTTTTTTTTTAAGACGTCAATCTAATAAATGTGTTCAGTCTCCTGCCTGGTACCAGACTGCATTGAACCCAGCTGTAAGGTTTAAAAACATCAAACATAATGACACATACAGACGCTGACAGGTCTCTCTGAAAGCTCCTCTCTTTTAAAGTGTATGGAGATGTTCTCTGTCAGGGTCGATCTAACATGTTCTTTACATTGAGGATCAAAGGACGCCTACGTTTCTTTTCATCATGAAGTAAAGGAATTACCTCCAGTTTCACCACCACACTGTAACAAATCACACCTGTTTGATACCTGACTTTATTCAAAGCCAGAATGGATATTTTAAGTTAATTCAGTTCATCTGGAAGGATCCGTCATGACATAAGTGTATAAAGTTGAAATCGTTGGATTAAAGGATAGGTCATCTGTTTTTAACACAGACATTGTGCACAGATTGATGTGTGTCTCGCTAACCCACACTCCATTAGACAGGGTTAAACAGAGTTGAATCAATTGTTTGGTGTATAAAATGCGTGATAATAGTGAAAAATGCCCATTGTATATTCCTAAAGCTAAAGTCTTTAAAGGTTTTAGTTTGTTTTGTCCGACAGTCCTAAACCAAAAAGTATTACATTTAACACAATTAATTTGACATAAAAAGCATGATTGGAAATACGAAATAGGCAATTTTTGTTTGAACCAACAGTTGATTAATTATCAGAATAGCTGAGTTCAGCTCTAAATCTGACGTGAAGACGTGTTTAGTGGTGAACACACACCATAAAACATAAAACCGACAAACTGATATTGTTTTATTTGACTCAATGCATAGAATTTTAATATTGTACTCGACTGAATTATAATGCTCTGTGACTTCTGACTCTCTTATTGATTGCAAAGATAAACCTTTTTATTTATTAGGAAGCTCAGAGAATGGTCAAACTAGTTTTTACATGATTTACCCAAAGAAGCGTCCAAAATGATGATTTATTTCAGGTTTTACTGATGGTGTTTTCATGTTGCAAAGGAAGGTTTTAATTGAATCTGACAGATCTTTTGATCAGAATGCATCATTCCAAGAAAAATATTGACAGTATAGCAGACAGAATGTGTTTAAAAGAGCATGCACTTTCAGGAATTGATTACAGGTTGAACCATAATTCTTGTGACGCCAGCCAGCAACAGAAACTAGTTAAACATTTCTGGATTCTTACCTTAAACCGTCACTGTTTTTGTGTGGTGCATGTCAGGCATCTCCCGTTGGCTGCAGAAGAGAATGGAAACTGAAGGCTGACCTCTGGCTGTCACCCTCCCACCGTCCTCAAGAGAAAACCATAAAGACAGAGGGATAGAAAGATGTAAGAATAAACAAATGATTCTCGCTCTTTGAAGATGTGAGGCGGCTGCGTCTTTCATGTGTTCCCACAGAGGTTTGCGCTGATGTGGACAATACATCTGATGTCACATTTGATCAGAGAAATATTCACTATATGCGTTGGGGTTCCTGAGTTCGAAGCAGTTTCGCAAGCTATGTGAGTTTCAGAGTTTTTCTCACTGTCTAATCGTCTATTAATTAATTATTAATTATCTGGGTTACATTATGTTGTATTTTCATATTTGATGTGAATCCAGCACTGGTGTTTCTGATGCACTTCTTCTCTGTTAGTCAAAAATAATGAATTTTATGTTGTTATCCACATGACAGGGGTCTCGCAATGTTGGTCAGCCTACCACTTTGGTCCAGGCCAAAAAATCTCAACTACTCAATGGATGGTCAAGAAATGTGGTACAGACCATGTGACATCCACTCCAGTTTGAATTGTAATGACTTCATCAGGTCAAAATTTAAAATTTTGCAAAATTAATGAAACCCCCATCAGGATTGGCTGTACTTTTAGTGCTTATGTTAGTGTAGCATGGTAAAATAATGAAGTAGGATAGGGTTTTCAGCTAAGAGCGCCACTGTGCTTACTACAGCTTCACAGATAATCTTTGCTGTAGTCTTAATTCTACAACAAACAGCAAATGTAAAACCAATCCTTTTTTCCAAGAAAATATCTACTTTACAGCACATGCAGACCCACTGATAGCAGCAGTAGTTTGACTCTGATTTAGAAGACATTGTGTTTCTCCACTTAAATCTTAGCCATCATCATGTCCATTTGTGGCTGGCAATTGGACACAACTTTAATATTAAATCTGTGATTCAGATCTGAGGTTTTCTCATGTAAAGAAAAGCCCAGCTGTGGGCCTTGTACATTAGTGGAGTTGTTGCTGCTCTTGAAAAGGTCAGTCCTGTAAGTGTCATAATAAGATCCTCACAGTCAGTGTTCGGCTGAGCCACCACGCGGCGGAAACAGCACGTTTAATAATTTCTGTTATTACACCTCTGAGTCAGACTAGAGTAAACAAAACTTCAGAAGTGATGTTATTTTTTTTTTCTGACACGTCAGCCAGTGGGAACTGGAAAGGAAATAATGCGATGAGCATGATGCTGGAGTGTTGGGATACAAAGGAGAAAACCATAGTTAGACTCTTTTAAGTTTCTGTCAGGGAACAAAAGTTATATTAGGCTTCTCATAAGTGACTGTGATAATACAGATTTGCTACAAAAATGAGGTTGTATAAAAACCTGTATATGTATTTAACCCTCTATTGCATGAAATATTACTTTGACATGGTAAAAATGTTTTGCATGTTTTTATTACTTAAAATGAGCTAAATAACAGATATATTAAAAAAAATCTTAAAAAAGTTTAAAGGGGGTCGTTGGTAAATTGTTGCCCTATGGCAACAATATGCAATCGTGGAAAGTACCATAAAATCAACATTATTTACCAAAAAACTCATTTTATTTAAAACAAGACTCAACAAATCCATCTCATACTTAGTGAAATGTTTAAACAAACATTTATACATTAATAACATTATATAATTTCAACAGTTATCTGAAATGTCTGGTAATAATAACCCGGAACCTGGAACCTGTCTCACTGAAATACATCATTCATTCATTTCATTTCATTCAGTCATTTCTTGCTGTTTCATTTCATTTCATTCTCTTCATGCCTTGTGAAAGTCAACAAAGCAGTTCCTCTCTGCAGTGAAGCAAAGGAAAACTGCACACTTGGAGCACTTGCTTCTCACAATGCCCTTGCATCCTGGCATTTTGCATCTGCCCTTCTCAGATGCATGCAAGGGCCAGTGGTTGGTGCGGTCTCTGCGGACAGGATCTGGCGGGACAAAGCTTTGCGGCCCTCTTTTATTTTTCCCCACAACAACAGCTTGTGAAGGTCTCCCCTTCCTCTTGTTGCTCACCTTGTTCTCCATGCACAAGCATGAGGCCACTTGGATTTTGAAGTCCAACAGTGGGAGATGGGCAATCTCTGGCATCTGGGACTGGCAGTCTCTTCTGTAAAGCAGCCACGCCTCTACCAGGGTCATGTCAAGCATGTGGAATACAATGCGGTGGTACCATTTCTTGGACCGGATCTTGGTGCGATAGAGGGCGATCAAAGAATCCAAAAGATCCACTCCCCCATGCTCTTGTTGTAGACTGCTACTACATTAGGGGCGTGAGACACGGACCACCTCTTTTTTTTTTTTGTCCCATCTTAGGACTTGTGTGGTGGGGTTTGCTGCTACGAATGTGCTTAGGAGGGTCACAGGACGGTTGTCAAACCATTTGACAGCCCAGAGGTTCACACCATTGTGAGTGGTCATCTTCTCTTCATGTGTTCCCCGTCCTTTGCTTTCATGGCACGATCATCCATAAATGTGCAGCCTGCAAGACGGCCCTGTCTCACAGTTCCGACACTATGGATCTTTTCCTTCTCCAGGAGTATCTGCAGGTCCACACTGCAGAACCAGTTGTCAAAAACAACTTGTGTGAAATGTTGGTGGGGATAACTGAGGCCAACTTCAGCACAATGTTTCCGCTCGCACCAATGTCAGGGAATCCATGACAGGGTTGAATGGACCCTGTGTACACATCAAAGTTGTACACAATGCCATGTTGGTCTGCTAGGATGAAGATCTTGTAGCCCCAGCGCTTTGGCTTCATAGGTATGTACTGCTTCAGTTGGCTCTTCCCCTTGAACGGCACCATCTGCTCATCAACACAGAGCATTTCATCCATGGGTATGCTCCTGTAGCTGTCATTGAGGAAGTTGAGGAGAGGTCTCACTTTGAACAGCTTATCGCCCCCTGGTACCTGGTTGTTGTTGTCAGCAAAGTGGAGATGTCTCTTGATATTTTCCCATCTATTTAAACTCATGGTGCTTGCAACCATCTCCACCCTTGTTTGTGGGTTCCAGTACAACCTGGTTTTTGGCAAGACATGGATAGACATGTGGAAGCACACTCCAATGAACTGCTCCATTTCTGCAACAGTAACATTGAGGGGTCTGGTGACATCACGCTGCAATGCATAGAGATTAGTTTGCCTGACAACTTCTTCCATTATTTCTCTGTGAAAAGGTGGCGGAAGTAATCCACTGGTTCTGATACTCCAGATGGCTCCGGAGGGAGCCTTTCCATTGTGGCACAGGTGGATGTTTTTTTTTCTGCCACTTAAGGTTTTTCGCCTTATGGAACTCTATGTGTCATCCCTCCCTGCTTCATCTGTTGACACTAACAACACAAATCTGCATTTTAGATAACAACAATTGACAACTCCTACAAACATTCACACAACCATGCACATGCTCCTGAGGATGAACTATCTAGTACTTCTACCTGCTTCCTCTGGCTCTGGCTCTGTGTCTGTGTCTGACTCTGACTCTGACTCTGATTCTGATTCTGAGCTGCCCCTGCTCTCATCCAGGTTTACATCAACCTCGTTGTCTTCATCACTGTCCACCAGCTCATCCTCACTCTGCTCTAGCGGAACAGTATTTCTTCCCTGTTCCCTTTCCTCTCCCTAGAAGTAGCTGGGATGCATCTTTTATGGAGGAAATGGGATAATATGTTACAGATAACCTACAAAATACCTTAAATCACAAAATATAAAAAATTAATAATGTTTTTACCTTTAAAACATAAGCAAAGTTGTAAACATAGTCTCGAGTAGTTTCATGCTATGTAAGTCAATGGGACTCCATTAGGTTGAATGCACCAGGAGATTTCCATATTTGCATACAGTTGCCATATGGCAACAAATGCATTTTAGCATATTACAAAAACTTATAAAATCAAAACTGAATTTAATGTTAAAAAATTAAAGTTTACTTACCCCAGATAGTGATTTCAATTTTTTATTTGATGAAAATGTTCCAAAATTCTGAATAAAAGGCAATCTTCGGGAGCCCCAGACAGTGATGTTTGGATGTCAATGTCCATGAGCAAAAGGACTGGCAAACAGGATATCCTGGTCATGTGACCTCATAATTGTATTTCCTTCAAGTAAAGCCCCTTTTCACAACTAACTGCAAAAACATAGATTTTATATTACAGCTTTTAGAAAATTAAGAGAAAGTAATTGTTGCCATATGGCAACGCTATCAATAGAGGGTTAAATTAGCTGTTTAGACAAGAATGAATAGTTCAGCTCAAAAGAGCCCCGTTTTTCTTCATGTCCCATGGATTTGAAATAGTATCTTGCCATCTAGTTTTAGAGAATTTCTCCTATCTTCATAATCTTTTATAGTATGTAAGTCTGCAACTGATCTGAAAGCAGAAAAATGAAAAAATTAAGACAAACAGTATAATGTTTGCCCCTCACTGTGTCCTGGATGTTGTTTAAACTCCACAAAAAGGATCCCAATTGAAACTATCAGTGCTTCTACTGTTGATACTTGAATAAACTATAGCTATTTTGCCAACACTTCACTTTTCATTACACTCTGAACGCAGACTGCAGAAACAAGACATCATTCCACATGGGTGATCAAAACTTCATAGAACAGGTATTTGTAATGGAATACATTTCCATTGCAAGGTAAAGGATTTCAGTACTCCACTACTATTCCCTCCACAAATATTGACTGAAGTATGAATGTCCTTGTTCTTGAGATCTACTCCTGCTGTTTGGAAAGGCTGTAATGTTAATAAAAGTGAAGTCTTTAAAGGTTGAAGTGTTTCCACAGACCGTTGAAGGCATCAACAACAGCACCAATGTCAGAAAAATCACAACTAGCAACACAAATGTAACAAAAGGAATAATAAAAAGTAAACAGAGTAAACGTAATCAACATATTTCAGCTCTGAATAACAAACCTTGAGAATATATATGAGGTATATCACATGATTCTCACAGCAAGCAGCTGAACTGCTCCTTGTTCACGTTAGTAAAACTGCTAAAGGACATCATGGGAGTGTACAGGTTGTTTAGATGAATGCAATCAATGTTATGTGACGCATTTTCTGTACAATTTAGTATCAAATCCCAGTGGCGCTGTAGATCACTCCATGTGAACTCTTCTCATCATCAAAGACGAGAAGCTTTGTACACTTGAAAATCAACAACTGCCCACACTAACAGCTCTCCACAGCACAGTGTATCACAGCCTGTGTCAAATTCAGACAATTAACTTTTGTGAGTGGGTGTATGATACATTTTGATGAATATATTGACATACATCTCCATCTTCTTCATTCATTTTGTCAAGGTTTTTACTTTGGGATCGGCTTTTGAACAAATTCTATAGCAGTCTGATCTGGCATTTATGTAACGAGATGTGAGATTGTAAACTGATCAGACCTACACGGACTGTGTTTTACTGACATGTAATACAATGTGAAATATTTAAATAATACTCAGTTGTGCACAATTAAATACTGGCAGGATAGACAGGCTTTCAACTATAGTAAAGAAACACCAAACCCAGAGTACTGTTACTAATATTTATATTTTATCCATTTTTTAAAATTAATTTCACAACAAACTTCCCATCAAAAGTGTGGTTCAAACCTGTACAACTTAATTTTTAAATCATGATCTCTACGTTGTTGAATGATGGTCCTGCTGAAGGGCAGAAAAAAAAATATGTAAAATGGATTATTTATAGCAAGTAATGCGACCATTAAATGTTGGCTTGTTGGACTTATCTAAGTCACTAACTTAATATAATTGTTCTCTAGCTTCTCTGAAGTGTTGCAGATACAGAGTACAAAATGTATGAGATGTGATCACAGGGTAGAGAAATGCTTTTGTATCTTTTAAGCTATCTCAGTAAACAAATAATTTAAATAAAGATTAGGTTAAACAAATCCTAACCCTGACAATGTTACTTTATATTAAAGCGGCAAGTACACTATGCTTTATATCTATCTTATTTTGTAATGCATTCTTTTGGCAGCTCAAAAGAAAGTAATGTCACTAGAATTTCAAACATGCTTTCTATAATATTTTAGAAAATTGCTGTAACCACAATGTTGTCTACATATTCCTTAATAAGCCTTTGGGTTTGTCTCGTTAATCTTTGCTTTAAAACTCCAATATATGCTGAATAATTTTGTAAAGATTCATTCTAGCTGGAGGAATAAAATAATACAGTTTGTCTCACTGATCAAAGTACTTATTGATCCTTCAGGAAAGGTAGAGATGTTATTGTGAATGTCAGTGGCTCCCCCTACTGGCAGATTGTAAAACCGCAGGACAATTCCTGTAGCATGGTTGGAATTTGATTTATGGTCAGGTGACCAAATTAAGTTATGATTTGCTCAGTCAAACTAAATATATGCTACTCTAAAATAACAAACAGATGGAACATTTGTTTATGTAGACTTACTGTTGGACAGTTGAAGCACCTTACATATGACCTATTAAGTTCATAACTCCAAAAATAGGTTTCAAACCAAGCTAGGGATAACACTCTGGCTATTTATTTAAAGATAGAAATACACATTTCCCTGAACACATAGGTTTTAGAAAAAGGCTTTGACTTCTTGCAGGGTTCCTGCAGATTTCAACAAGTTAAATTTAAGATTTAAGGTCATTACAAATACAGTTTAAGTCAAAGTTTACGCCCATAGTGGTAAAGAGAAAAAAAAAAAAAATGTTTTGTTAGTGGAGAAGGAAAATTGCTATCTGTTCCATTTCGCTTTTGATTTGTAGTTTGTTACAGCTTGATCAACATACATTTGACCTAAAAACACATTTAATAAGAGACTGACAACTGCAAAATGATACTGAAGACATTTTAAGGACTAAAATTCAGATTCAATTTTAGAGTTTAAGACCCTGCGGACACCCGTATATACTACTGATATGTAGTTGACAGATGGCTCTGAGGAAAAAACTGCAGGATCAGTGCTGCCCAACCACAGCAGCAGAGGATCACACATTTAATTACACTTTTTGAACTGCATAAATCAAACACAAAACACTGTAGCGGAAAGTTGCAATGAGTAGTTCTCAAATATTTGTTCATTCTGATGTAAAAAATTCAACTTTTAATACATCACTATCCTTGTGCAGTTCAAAATATTACAGCAAGTATAAAGGAAAAAAAGCACCATCTCACATTTAGCTGTTGTTACCCATTTGGCTGTCAAAAAAAACATTTCCTTAAAAACTTGTATTATAGTAAAATATTGTAACTTCAAGAAAATAACCACGAAACAAGTTTTTTTTTTTTTATATAAAAAATGGTTTTAACAATTTCTTTTTTCAGTATAAAACATTACAGAGTTCCAGGCCAATCAAACAAATTCACTGTCACAATCTGAAATAATCATGAACTCCCCAGTCAAACGTTCTACAATAACATACAAAGGGGGTTTTTTTGTCGTTAAGGGGTTTTCTGAACTTTTCTTCTAGTTATGGGAAAATATTACAACACAAAGCCTAACAATCACCCTTCGTTTGCTATAATATTAATAATAAAAAAGAACAAATGTGAACTCCTGGTCCGATCAAAGCCCAAGCCCCGAAATTTCTGGTCAACGTGGCATCTATGCAGTCTTCTGCTGGCCCTTCTTGCCAATGAGGGATTTGTGGATGTGGGGAATTACACCTGAAAACAAACAAAAAAACATTGGTGAGATTAAACGACTCATGCAAACGTAGCTGTGATCTAAAGATGTTTCTACGGCGTGTGTAGTGCAGAGGTAGCAGAGCACATCGACACCAAGCTACTAGGAAGCACTTATTATGCACGTACAAATCCAGAAAGAAAACAATGATAAATGAAAAAACTCACCTCCTCCAGCAATTGTTGCCTTGATGAGGGAGTCCAACTCCTCGTCACCACGGATGGCAAGCTGCAAGTGACGGGGGGTGATACGCTTCACCTTCAAGTCTTTGGAGGCGTTGCCCGCCAACTCTAGTACCTGAGAACAAAAACGACCATGAACAGACATTAACGCAAACAGCAGCATCTCACACGAACACTGCGTGGCGTGACATCCAAAGCCACTGTTAATCACAGACATGCGCCAAATGAGGAAGGCTTACTTCAGCAGTGAGGTACTCAAGGATAGCAGCACTGTACACAGCTGCTGTGGCTCCTACACGACCGTGGCTGGTTGTGCGAGTCTTCAAGTGCCTGTGGATACGACCCACTGGGAACTGGCAGGAAACAGATACAAGACAGTGGTTTGAGTAATATAAAAGGGGTAAGCCCCTCTGCGATGATGGAGGGTGTCACATAAGGTAAGCAGTAAAGCCACAAACGGCTGTGTGAAGATGTGAAGATTTACCTGCAGCCCAGCCCTCTGGGAGCGCGACACTGCTTTTGCCTTGGCTTTGCCACTGTCTTTTCCTGCTTTGCCACCAGCCTGCATGGGCCAAAACAGGAAACATGGAGAGAAATCACACAAGGGAAGCAAAACAAGAGGCAGAAATGTGTGGAGCTGTGGTGTTACTGTGGTATTTTGAAAAATCCCTTTATAGAAAACCCTAAACTTCAAAGCACCTCAAGCTATTAAATGAGTGGGTAAAGGAGCTCGAAAAACCAAATATTTGCGCATGAAGTGGTTAAATTACGAAAGGAAAAATGAAAAGGTCAACACTAAACGAACTGCATTAACACATCAATGAGTGACGTTACAGAAGCCCGGCTGAAACACTATCGATTTCCCGCCAATCAAATATAAAAGCATAACAAACACAAAAATAGCGGCAACAATAAGAGTAACCACGAATCGCAAGCATAAACCCGATAATTAACCTGATTAAATTAAGAAAATAACAAAAAAAATAACAGCTTTTCTGACAGAAATAGTAGAAGCTGTCAGCGGGCTGCTGCCTGCGACCCCGCGACAAATAGAAAACAGAAGCGCCGCTTTAAGACGGGTCACACTTTAACTTTTCACTCACCAATTTCAACAGACAAAAGTTTTTCTGTCAGAGGCACCCAGTCGCACAGGAATCACACAGTGGGTTTTACTCAATTAACTTTGTTTACAGACTTATAACGAAAGCCTTATGATCAACTGTTAACAGTTAACAAACCGTTGAGCTAATGAAGTAGCTCAACTTAGCTTCCTAATGGTTGCTAATCCACCTTTCAGAGAGGCTAACGTTACACCGCGCGGAAAAAAACCCCTCTCGTGTGTACTTCTTTTGAAGCACTCACTTTCTGTAAAAGTTAAAATATCCCAAACACACAGAAATATAACAGTACCGTTAAAATAAAAGCGAGTTCTCGCGCTAATGGTAATGCTAACGCGTTAGCTGACAGTTAGCGCTTTAGCCAGCTTTGTAACCACACACCTTCTGCTCGGATTTCCTCAGTTCAAATTCAAAACAGCACTTTCTACAGTGGCACATTAATTACAACACACGTGTACCAATATCCCTGCTAATGCATAAAGCATACACCGAAGCGCACATACCATTTTTACGTCTCGTTATTTGATTGTAGAACTGGGTAGATAGCAAACAATTTCGGCTCCCGAAAGCAAAGAAACAATAAACCCTTTCGGAAATCTTTTGCATGAGACCCCTCGTGGGAGTCTGGAGAGCCAATCAGAACGCGTGTTGTTACTTCGAATCTCCGTTTCGACCAATCACCAAACCGCTTGCACAACATTCACCCATCCCCCACCACAGGATCATCGTGCCTGCTTTTGCGCACGAAACCAACCAGTAGGCGGGACTGTGTGTGGTGAGTGTCCTTCCAGGGGCATCCATCCCAAAAAATGTACAAAATACACCATCAGGAGGCCATTGTGGGAATTAACTCCTGAATTTCACTACCGTGGCACTCATAACTTCTTAAAATACGTGTATGTTTGTGCTAACTGCAGTTAGAAACGGGTTATGGCAACAGTACATTCACCAAAGGGCAGAGTATCCGCTGTAGATATACCCTCAACATGAGGTTATCACTGCCATGGAGATCTGTTACGGACTGTAAATACTATATCCACTCGAATGTCATCCAGGAGGCGGGTGATGTTTTAATGACAGACAGGGGAGTTGGCCAATGAAAACACGAGCCCGCTGTCTGATGTTGTGATTGGCAGCCGCAGCGACCAATCACAGCTCAGCAGCCAGCGTCCGGTTTCCTCTGCGAGCTCGGCGAGCAAGGGGGGGGTGGGGGTCAAAGATACGCAGAGAAACGGGCTGCTGGTGGCGAAGATGGCGGATGGGGACAGTGGCAGTGAGCGCGGTGGCGGCGGTGGCAGCAGCGGTGGCGGAGGGGGAGGAGGAGGAGGCGGCGGCGGCGGGTTTCAGCATTACCAGCGGGACTCGGAGACCCAGGAGTTGGCCTCGAAGCGGCTGGACATTCAGAACAAACGCTTCTACCTTGATGTGAAGCAGAACGCCAAAGGCCGGTTCATCAAAATTGCCGAGGTCGGCGCCGGGGGCTCTAAAAGTCGGCTGACCCTCTCTATGTCAGTTGCGGCAGAGTTCCGCGACTACCTGGGGGATTTCATAGAGCACTACGCCCAGCTTGGGCCTAGCACCCCGGAGCAGATCGCCCAATCTTCCGGCGGGGATGACACCGGGCCTAGACGGGCCTTGAAGAGCGAATTCCTTGTGCGTGAGAACCGCAAATACTACCTCGATCTGAAGGAGAACCAGCGGGGTCGGTTTCTCCGGATCCGACAGACCGTCAACCGAGGCCCCGGTTTCGGAGTCGGGGTGGGTGGCATCCCCGGGGCTGGCCTGCAGGCCGGGCAAACCATCGCACTCCCGGCCCAGGGCTTAATAGAGTTCCGCGACGCCTTGGCCAAGTTGATAGACGACTACGGGGGAGACGAGGAGGAGCTGGCCGGCGGCGGAGGGGCCGGGGGCTACAGCGAGCTTCCGGAGGGCACCTCGATCATGGTGGACTCCAAGCGGTTCTTCTTTGACGTGGGATCCAACAAGTACGGAGTTTTCTTACGGGTGAGCGAGGTGAAGCCCAGTTACAGAAACTCTATAACAATCCCCTTCAAAGCGTGGAGCAAGTTCGGGGGAGCGTTCAGCCGCTATGCCGAGGAAATGAAAGAGATCCAGGAGCGGCACCGGGATAAGATGTACGAGAGGAGAGCCGGAGAGGAGTCGGAGGGCGACGACGTGGACGACGATTGATGGAGAGGTGGCTACTTGTGATGAAGCTGACAACATGATGCAAAGCCTGGCGATAAACAGAGAAACAGAGAGAGAGGAACGACTATCCTGTGCATGACGAATCGAACTTTAAAAATGCTAAAACAACGGATTAAAATTTAAAAAAAAGTATATTTGACTGAGAAATTACTGTCTATATAAGAGAATCATGTTCTAAAGTTTAGGTGGATGTTATAGCTAAATGAGTGCGGACTGCAGAAGTCAGCTCCTGTATGAGATTCCCCATGATAAATATATATATATATAGGAAAATATATATATTATATATATATGATTGTCTGTTGATAACCTCACAAATGTAGCCCAGCAAATTAAGTTTGACAGTGCTCAAGACACAGCAGTAGGTTACCAGTCACACTTCCTGGTTGATATCCAATGGTAAGAGCTCACCTGGCGCTGACCTATAGTCTGTGGTGGGTGATATGATGATGATGATGATGATGATGATAACAAGGAAGTGTGGCAATCTCATACCAGCAGGTGCAAAGTGGGAGTGAGACAGAGTGCCTGCATCACTCACCATGGCTGTGTGTGCGTTATTGTCTGAAATGACCTGTAAGGGACGGCTTGCCCAGACAGACCCACAACACCCGGAGCCACAGTCTCAGCTATAGGGGGCATCCTTGGCATCGCAGGACATCTTCTCGGCCCAGCGAGGTCCCATAAGGTGATCTGTTACAAGCACACGACTCATTTGGATTCTATGGACAATCCAAATGAGTCCAAATGACCTCCCACCCCCATACCATTTCCTCCTTCTCCTCCCTCTCTCCCTCCTGGGTCATCCTTCAGGTGCTAACCTCCTGCTCCGATAGCTGAAATGTGGCGAGGCCTGCTCACACGTGGCTTCTTTTGTCTCAGGGCTGGCGAGTCCAATCCATATTTCTGGGTATATCAGCATTACCTGTGCCTGTGCGTCATCCTCAAGAGACCTGGTCAACTTGTTGCTACAGCTGAGACGTCTGTGGCAACTGATGATGTCTCATGTGATGCAGGCCCACGCCTGACCCCTGTGACCTTTTTATCAAACGGGGGACACAGTGAGCTCAGGCCTCTAGCACTGGTCACAATTTTTCAAGTTAAAAGCTTAATATTGCCGGGCTGGAGCTACGGTCTCAAGGGAATTGACCTTGTTGACGTATTTAGGGTGCGCCATTTGGATCCTTTTAATCTTGAACTCAGACCATTAATGACTGAAGCAGTATTCAGTCTGATTGTAAGAAAGATTAGGTGCTTTTGGAAAACAAAACCCACAATGGGGTGCTGTACTTAAAGAAAAAAAAAAGAAAAACTATATACTGGAAGAGATTTACTTACTAAAAAGATCAAGTATAGATAGAATTATTTTTCAAAAGAGATATATTGAAATATGTCTTAGAAATATGAGACATTTATTAGATAATGCTGCCTAAAGTGGCTTATTTAAAACACTAAACTTGGATGCAACTGTCCAGGGTGATATTTCATACCTGCTTTTTTCCTAACATTTCTTTTATTCCTTAGAGGAAATTAAGAGTACAATAAATTGATAACACAGTATGTTACAGCAATTTCTAGAAACAACTTCATTGAAGTAGTTTGTCAGCAAACACTCAGCACTCCAGTTCACTTTACATAGCATCGAGTTGCCCCCTCGTTTCAGTCCAACCGTTTAAACCATGTTTTGTCATAAACTGGCTTTCCATCAGTTGCCATACGACGCGAACGTAAGCACCTGCAATCATCAACATTTTGTCTTTTGTGCTCCTTTTTAAAAATATGATCTTTTTTTTTTTTTTTGCATGCCTGCTCTTACGCGGAGCTGCCTTGTGTTCTTTTCTTTTGCATATTCTGATTGCTGTATGATGGTATTTATCCATTTTTGAGAGCGGTTTCAAGTTTTATTTCTTGCAATGGAAAAAAAAAAGTTTACTTCTCAGCCTAATAAAAAAAAAAAGCCACAAAGTTCCCATGCTTTGGGGAATGTCACTTTCATTGTCCCACTTCCTTTGGTGTGTAAACCTCTCGTTGAATTTTACTTTACCCACTTCAACACAACAAATGCAGAAATGTCATATGAAAAAAATAAACACCTGGGAGCAATAGTTTTTTTTTTCTTTTCTATTGATATAAATATACTATATATAATATTACACATGAGATTGAACTACATCCTTCTTCCTGTACTGTGTTACGTGAAATGGCAGCTGTTTCAGTCGTGTGTTCTGCTGTAATATTCTACCAAGTTCCTTTCAACGAGAAATAAAAAAGGTTTTTGCTCAGGAGAGGTGTGCTCTTTTTATCCTCCCACTTCAGGGTGGAGACCACTCTATCTTTACCTGATAAGTGCAACAAAGTTGTCAGGATTTTTCTTGTTATTTTAGGTAACTGCAGGACATTTTCTCAATGAACTGATTAATCATTTTGTCCATAAAATGTCAAAATATAGTGAAAAATGCTCATCACAATTTGTCAGTTTAAGGAGGCTTCTTAGATGTCAAAATATATTTGGTTTACACCCATATAACTAATCTTTTACTTAAAATAGTAGTACTATTGCATTCTAGTAGTGAAAGCGCATTAGTGTTACCAACAAAATGAAACTATTTAGTTGTGAGTAATGTATGTATTATAAATGGCCATGTTGACTGTTAAAGGTCCAGAAATGGAATATAATATTCATAACTCTGTTTTCATTAGTGTGTTATAATACACAAACACAATATCTGATATATTTAGAGGGTTTAAAGCTTAATCTGAAAAGTAACTCGTAACTAATAGCTGTCAGATAAATTAGAGTAGAAGTATTAGTAACATCAAATGGGAACACTAGAGTACCAGCACCTCCTACTTAAGTACGGCCCTTTAATAAATGTACTTCCACTAGTAAACATTTTCAAGTGTTCAACTGTTAAAGTAGATCATATCTCTTTTCAGACCTGGGAACCATTTTTTTAAATATAAGCTCTGAGGGCAAAGAAATCAGCATGTAAACGTCAACATTTGTCTCATTCAAATGAGAGATAACAACTGGTGTTTTTACAGATCTGAGCATCCCCTCCGGTGGAATGTGTATCAGTGAAATCACTTGCTGTAATCCTATTTTTGTTGGCCCTGTGACGCACCTCAACACCATTCCAAAAAACTAAATACACATAGTACATTTTTATAGAGAGGAACACACCTTATTGGCAATATTTGTTTTGGCCCTGATACAATTTCTACTCAGCAGAATATTAGGTAGTAATTATGAGCATTGTTGTGAGGTATGAAGATGACAATTAGTGAAGAAAACAGTGGTGGAAGTAGCTGAGATGCTCTAATGAAGTAAAAGTATTAATACCTCATATTAAAATACTCCAAAAGGTAAAGCACTCTTAATGAAAAATGGCAAAACAATTAGAGTATAGCCTAATATTTATCATATATACACTCCTGAACAAAATCTTAAGACTGGG